CCTAATGAAGGGGTTTACTACTTAGTCAAAAAAAAATGAAGAAAACTGCCAAGAGATGCATGAAAGTGCATAGTGCACCTTTGGTAGAAATGCATCTTAAAGAGGTTGCAACATAGCAGACACTCACTGTATTCAGGTTATCGTGTGTACGAAGTAGCTTTGAGTTCATACACAGAGTTGCCACATGTCTATCCTGCTGGACGAAGCCAGCACATCACTAATCTTTGGTGCAGGTTAGAAAAGAGGCAGGACTCAGTTGAAATGAATATAAAAGATTCTTTATTGAAGCGACCGGACATAAACCCTTTGGTCCTTTCTGGCTCACTTGCTCCCAGACCGTCACTGGGATACTTGCTGCTGTCTAGTGTCTCCTTGAATTCTGGACTGGCTTTAGCTTTGAGGAAAGGGACTGATGACTCCACTTCAGCCACTTTTGCATTGTGACTTCTTGGTGTTGTCAGTATGCCATGACACAGCCTTTGTGACATCTCCGGCATCCATGAGTGAGGCCAGAACTTGCCATTATGCTAGGTGCCGCTCTTTGGCACATCTCTTGCAGAGAGTGACTATTTTATCAGGTCGTGTTTTATTCAGGAAGATAAATTGGGCCCAAACTTGACCCTGGATTCACCTCTACAAATAAATATAGAGAAGTAAAAGTGGCCCATTTGCTGTCTCCCAGGAGAGTTGCTGCTGTTGCTATCAGCTTTAGCAGGGTAGTTTGTAAACAGCTTCACTCCAGCACTTGCAGGTTATAGGTCAGTAACACGTGGCAATAAATAATGGGCCTTCCATCAGCCCTTTAGGTCGCGATTTCTGTATGAATTCGTTGTAGGGCTTTATAGGTCCTGCGAGGGCCTGTGCAGCAGAATGAGGGGAGATATTCACACCTACGCACACGCTACACACAGCAGGAATGTGGGGATGCCTGTGTGTCGTTGAGCTATCAGAGCCATTGAAAAGAAGGTGACTGGGACATTACTAGACCAAAGAACAGGAATAGCCCAAACACAAGACCAGGTAGTAATGGGGGACTTCAACGCCCTGGACACCTGCTGGAAAAGCAACATGGCAAAACACACAATGTCCAGTAAGTTCTTGGAATGCGTTGGGGACAACTTTTTGTTTCAGAGCGTGGCGCAAGTAACCAGGGGGCAGCCATGTTAGACTTGATTCTGACCAACAGGGAGGAATTAGGTGTGAATCTAAAGGTTGAAGGCAAAAGTAGATCATGAAATACAGATTTCATGATTCCAAGGAAAGGGGGTAAGAGCAGCAGAATAAGGACAATGGACTTCAGAAAAGCAGCCTTTATCAAACTCTGAGGAGTGGTAGGTAAGATCCCATAGGAAGAAAATCTAAGGAAAAAAAAGAGAGCTGGCAGCTTCTCAGAGATAATATTAAAGGCGCAACAGCAAACTAGCCTGATGTGAAGGAAAGATAGGAAGAATAGGAAGAGGCCACTATGGCTCCATTAGGAGCTTGTTAATGACGTGAAAATCAAAAAGGAATCCTACAGAAAGTGGAAGAATGGAGAAATTGTGAAGGATGAGTACAAAAGAACAGCACAAGCATGTAGGAATAGCATCAGAAAGGCTAGGGCACAAAATAAGTTACATTTAGCATGGGACATAAAAGATAATAAAAAGAGGTTTTATAAATACATTAGGAGCAAGAGAAAGACAAAGGAAAGTGTAGGTCCATTATTTAGCAGGGAAGGACCACTAATAATGGACGACATCAAGAAGGCTGAGGTGCTTCATGCCTGTTTTGCCTCTGTGTTCACTAAAAAGGTAAATTGTGACCGGATACTTAACACAATTAATATTAATAATGAGAGGAAGGAACTCAAGCTGAAATTGGGAAAGAACAGGTGAAAGAATATTTAGATAAGTTAGATGTACTCAAATTGGCAGGGCTTGATGAAATGCACCCTGAGGTACTTAAAGAAGTAGCAGAAACAATCTCGGAACCATTAGCTATTATCGGCGAGACTCATGGAGGAGGTCCCAGATGACTGGAGAAAGGTACTATGTTTGTCTATCTTTAAAAAGCAGATAAAAAGAGGACCTGAGGAATTATAGCACAGTCAGATGCAGGATGCTGGAACAATTTGTATAGTGTGGGTGCTGAGAGCCATTGAACCAAACTGTAAATCCTGTATATAATGGAAACCACTTCAAGCTGGGGGGCACAGCAGCACCCTTAGTTCCAGCACCTATGGTCAGATGATCTTTTGTACCTGAAAAGATACTGGAACAAATTAATCAATCTGTTTGTAAGCACCTAGATGATAATAGGGTTATAAATAATAGTAAAGATGGATTTGTTGAGAACAAATCATGCCACACTAACCTAGTTGCTGACCTAGTGGATGAGGAGGAAGCTATAGATGTGCTATATTTTGATTTTAATAAAGCTTTTGACACAGTCCCATATGAATTGCTCATAAGCAAGCTAGGGAAATGTGGTCTTGATGAAATTACTGTAAGGTGGGTGCGCAACTGGTTGAAAAATCATACTCAGAGTAGTTATCAATGGTTTGCTGTCAAACTGGGAAGACCTATGTAGTGGGGCCCCACAGGGGTCTGTCCTGGGTCCAATACTAGTCAATATTTTCATTAATGACTTGGATAATGGAGTGAAGAGTGCACTTTATAAAATTTGTGGCTCCCCACAAGTTGGGAGGGATTGCTAGCACTTTGGAGGACAGGATTAGAGTTCAAAATGACCTTGACAAATTGGAGACATTTTGGTCTGAAATCAACAAGATTTAATTCAGTAATGACAAATGCAATGCACTACACTTAAAAAAAAATGCAAATGCACAATGGGAATAACGAGGTAGGCAGTAGCGCTGCCAAAAAGGACCTGGGGGTTATTGTGGACCACAAATTGAATACGAGTCAACAATGTGATGTATATTAACAGGAATGTCATGTGACAAACACAGAGGGTAATTGTCCCGCTCTCCTTGGAACTGGTGAGGCCTCAGATGGAGTACTGTGTCCAGTTCTTGGCCCCAGGCTTTAGGAAAGATGTCGAGAAATTGGAGAGAGTCCAGAGGAGAGCAACAAAAATGATAAAAGGTTTAGAAAACGTCACCTATGAGGAAAGGTTAAAAAAAACATGCTGGGCATATTTAGTCTTGAGAAAAGAAGACTGAGGGGGGACTTGATAAGCTTGTTATAAAGAGGACGGCTATGAATTGTTGTCTGTGTTCATTGAAGGTAGGGTAAGAAGTAATCATCTTAACCTGCAGAAGAGATTTCGGTTAGATATTAGGAAACAATCTAACTTTAAGGGATGTTAAGCTCTGTAATAGGCTTCCAAGGGAGGTTGTGGAATCCCCGTCACTGGAGGTTTTTAAGAACAGGTTAGACAAATACCGGTCAGGGACGGTCTAGGTTTATTTGGTCCTGCCTCAGCACAGGGGGCTGGACGTTATGACTTCGTGGGGTCCCTTCGAGCCCTACATTTCTATGATTCTATGATCAGTGTTTCTGTCATTGCAAATGGTCATACAGTGAAGCTGCTGTTTTCCATCTATTTTGTGTTCTTTCAGAGATGGTCTCTCTCTTCTCTCTCCATCTTTGACCATCTCGAGGGGTTCCAGAAGAGAACCCTGTGTTTTAAACTTTCTTAGCCAGTTGCAATCAAAGATGGCCAGTTTGAAGGAGGGAATTTGTTTGTTTGGGGGTTGTGTGTCTGTGTGTGTGTGTGTTGTTTTTGTTTTTGTTATTTTGCTTAAAGGGTTGCCCAGTCACTTCCAGCTAAAACAAACCTCCTTGTGATTGGTGAAGGAAATCCCAGCACTTTGAAAGTTGTCACCCGTTTGCACATTCTCTATGCATGCCTAAAGGAAGAGCTATCACTAGCCCTACATTTGCCCATAAACTGAGCAAATGGTCAATATAGCAAGTGGTCAATATAAATGAGGATAAGTTCCCATTTTTATTTGAACTCTTTTTTCCCCCTCCCCCAGTTGTTCATAACTTTCTCAAAATTCCTTTTTGGGTTGAATTGTTCTACACTTAGTCAATGCCCAAAGGGTGGGATTTTTTCTAGGTAATAAGTGTGAGCTAAATCGACGGAGCTGTTTTCAGTTATTTGAGTATGAGGAAAATATATTATTCCTCAAATGTCAGACTGGGGTTTAATTTGTAGATTGTAATGAGACTTTTTTTTCTTTAATGAAGTCACATAGAAGATAAAATTAGGCAGTTTTAAAGTTATGTATCTTTAGGCTGCCTCAAAATCAGAATTTACAGAAGGTGCCTGCAAACTTTAGTAGGTGCTCGAGTTTGAAAATTGGGGCCCATTAAGATTAGAAAGCTCGTCTGATGATTTTTAAGTACCTCAGTTAATTATCTTTTTAAGCATAACTGAAAATTTTCTGCCAAATTAAGTAATGGTACTTTTACACTATCCATTAATGAGTGACCAAAATTATTTCAGCCATCTTTCTTCCTTTCTGGTGGGTCTGCCACTGGAGTATATATGCAGTGTTGTAGCCCTGTTGGTCCCAGGATGTTAGAGAGACATCTTTTATTGGACCAGCTGGAGTATATGGTAACATTGAGAGGGGGAGGGGGAGAAGGGGAGTGGCTCATATGTGGGCGATAGATTATGTGGGTTTGGGGCCGGTTTTCCGAACGTGGAGTGAGTTTAGGTTGCCTGATTTTCAGGGGCTGTGTGTGAGCACGTAAAATCAAGCCCCTGTAAGGGGTCTCAGGTTGAGTCCCCCCAGAAATAGGCACTCGGAATCACTCTGTAAAATCTTGGCATTAACTCCTGAGTGGGGCATGGCGTAATTCCACACTGATATTTTTTTTTTCCAAAGCTTGCATCTTGCAAGGAAAGAGTTAATGAAATTTAAGTGCTTGGCGGGAGCCGTTCCCTGGTATTAGCCAATCAGAGGGGGCAGAGGTTCAGCTCTGTGCCTGTGCTAAGGTAACAGGTGATTTGTTGTTTACAACATGTAGTTTTGTCGAGTCCCCTCAGGCACCGAGGGCAGGGGTTGGGAGAGCATGGAAGGAAAAACCTCTTGATCGTGGAGGTACACGTGCAGCTAGCTTACTTCTGCTGAAAACATTTTCTGCTTTAGTCTCTTAAAGGAAGCTCTGGGTAAGGTGTCACTATGGCACTCCTTTGTTAGAGAGCACGCTTCCCAGGAAGAGTGGAAACAGCAGAGAGCAGCCAGCCAGGACAAGGAGTGCAATGCCTTGCCGTCCTGTGTGCACAAGGGAAGAGCATCTATCCGTCAACTCAGTGGATTATGTTAACCAGGAGCAGCCTTGCCACACTGTGATGGACAGAGAGGAAATACATACCCCAGGTTTACGGCTGTTCTGACCATTTGTGTGGTGAAGGAGTTGGAAAGATTGGGTATGGTATTGTTTTCATTTCCTGCCTAATGATTAAAGGTCTAGAAAACATGACCTGTGAGGGAAGATTGAAAAATCTGGGTTTGTTTAGTCTGGAAAAGAGAAGACTGAGAGGGGACATGGTAACAGTTTTCAAGTACATAAAAGGTTCTTACAAGGAGGAGGGAGAAAAATTGTTCTCCTTAACCGTTGAGGATAGGATAAGAAGCAATAGGCTTAATTTGCAGCAAGGGAGGTTTAGGTTGGACATTAGGAAAAACTTCTTAACTGTCAGAGTGGTTAAGCACTGGAATAACTTGCCTAGGGAGGTTGTGGAATCTCATCATTGGAGATTTTTAAGAGCAGGTGGGACAAACACCTGTCAGGGATGGTCTAGATCAGTGCTTCTCAAGCTATCTGATGCGGGGGGCTGGCAATTTTTTTTTCCAGTGTGCGCGCAGACCGGCAGCCGATGGCTCGTGGACCAGCACCGGTCCGCGGACCACCACTTTGAGTAGCACTGGTCTAGATAATCCTTAGTCCTGCCATGAGTGCAGGGGACTGGACTAGATAACCTCTTGAGGTCCCTTCCAGTTCTATGATTCTAAACAGCAGCCACCTTTCACTCCAGGGGTGGCTGCTTTTTGAGACATGAGTGTAGGGTTGTGTGTATGTATTTATACCGCGCTGAACTGGGTATTGTGGGGGTGCACCACTGCCCTCTACTGGAGAGCATCAAAACTGCTCTACTGTGTACCATAGGGCCCATGCAGCTTGTGGAGCTTATCATAAGTGGTAGGGGACTGGGGTGGTGGAATAGTAGGGTCTGACTTTGGAGCTGTTGCAGTGAAGTTTTGAGTATGTGGAGCACACAGCTGTCTGATATGACACTGCTGCATGTAGGGAGCAAAGGAGTTGCAAGTTTGTAACTGAGAATGTACCCTATGCTTTGTAAAGTCCTTTGGGAGCCTTCAGCTTGAAAGGTGTTGTATGAGGCTTAGATAATAGTCACGTCCCTGTGTCATGCCTTTTATTTGCAGTGTTTGTGCCATTCTTACTGACAGTAGAAATGCAAATTATTCAGGCAACCCCAATACAAACCATAAGGTCTAATATTTATGGCAGCAGGATTTCTAAGCAACGTAGGAACTGGCTTATTCTCCAGCCAGGCCGCTCCCAGCCAGGGCGGGGTGGGAGGGAAATGAATAACGAGAATATTTCCATTGGTAGTGGTGTGTTGCGGGGCTGTAGGTTGGAGCTGTATCACTGCCCTTGAAATTCCTCATGCCCAGTTAATTATAAGCCGAGGCTGGATTCACAATACTGAGTGGTTAAAACCTTGGCGAGGGAGGTGGAGGTGGCGGCGGCTTGATCTGAAAAAGGGCATGGTTTGTAAACACACCTTGAATTTTTTTCTTTCTCTACCCGTGAGACTGTTGGGGAGGCTGGAGTGAGAGGTGGTCACCTTAGCTTGCTGGCGCCAGGGACATCAGCCAGCTGGCTCTGGGTGCACGTCCCACTGTGGAACAGGAGATGAGACTGGTGGCTCTGATCCTCAGTGGAGCTACACCAATTCACATCCACTGAGCATCTGGCCTGTGCACTACCAATGCTTTTCACAACTCGCTCATTTAATAGACTCCTCACTGCATTCCAAAGGGATCATTTATAACAGGGTTCTCAACCAGGGGTACGCGTACCCCTGGGGGTACGCAGAGGTCTTCCAAGTGGTACATCAGCTCATCTAGATATTTGCCTACGTTTACAACAGACTACATAAAAGCACTAGTGAGTCAGTACAAACTAAAATGTCATATAATTACTTGTTTATACTGCTCTATATACTATACACTGAAATGAGCATGCAATATTAATATTCCAATTGATTTATTTTATAGTTATATGGTAAAAAGTCAGAAATTTTTCAGTACTAGTGTGCTGCGACACTTTTGTATTTTTATGTCTGATTTTGTGAGCAAGTAGTTTTTCAGTGAGGTGAAATTTGTGGGTACGCAAGACAAATCAGACTCCTGAAAGGGGTACAGTAGTCTGGAAATGTTGAGAGCCACTGATTTAGAATGTAAGAACAGCTATACTGGGTCAGTGGTCTGTCTGGCCCAGTGCCAGATGCTTCAGGGAAAACGAAGAGAATGGGACAATTATCAGGTGATCCATCCCCTGCCGTCCAGTCCCAGCTTCTGGCAGTCAGAGGTTTAGGGACACCCAGAGCCTGGGGCAATGCAGAAACCATGCTCAAATAAATTGGTTAGTCTCTAAGGTGCCACAAGTACTCCTTTTCTTTTTGCGAATACAAACTAACACGGCTGCTACTCTGAAACATGTGTGATTGTAGAACAAAGCCCTTCCAGGCCACTCGGTGCCTTAACAAAACAACACTAAGGTGCTGGGCAGCCCATAGCTCCTGGGTGTGACTTGCGTGGACATCCAGTGAGTCACACTTCTCTAACTGAGGGCAGAATCAGGCCTGTTAATTAACCATAACTGGGCAACGTGCCTGAGTAAATCCCTAAGAGGGTGGAAATCTCCATGCAAACATAGGGCCCAATCCTGGAAGGTACTGACCCCTTCAATTCTCGTTGTGGAGTGGAAGGTGCTCAGCACCTTACAGGATTACGTCATTTGAACGCAGGGAGGTGTCCACATCAAAATCACAGTTCCAGACTCCCCTGAACTTCAGGAAAAATTGGATCCAAATCCAGATACAAACGCTGCAGTTCTGGAACCAAGAAATCAAACCTTGAACGTAGCCCTGACATGTGCCACTAATGTGCTTCTGCATAAAACAAGGGAGAGGGAATTCCACTGCTGAGGGCTCTTGATGTAAAGGATCCTGTCATGTTCATGGTCTCTCTTTGCTCACTGTGCCCAAGCTTGTAGCATCAGCTCGCTACCTGGCACTTCTTTGGGGAAGAGCTCATAAGTCTCTCTTAGCCCATAGCTGGGAAGCGGAGTCCACCAAATGGTGTTGCCTCAATGATACCGATAGAAGCTGAGCATAGAATCATAGAATATCAGGGTTAGCAGGGACCTCAGGAGGTCATCTAGTCCAACCCCCTGCTCAAAGCAGGACCAGTCCCCAACTAAATCATCCCAGACAGGGCTTTGTCTAGCCTGATCTTAAAAACCTCTAAGGAAGAAGATTCCACCGCCTCCCTAGGTAACACATTCTAGTGCTTCACCACCCTCCTAGTGAAAAAGTTTTTCCTAATATCCAACCTAAACCTCCCCCTCTGCAACTTGAGACCATTACTCCTCGTTCTGTCATCTGCTACCACTCAGAACAGTCTAGATCCGTCCTCTTTGGAACCCCCATTCAGGTAGTTGAAAGCAGCTATCAAATCCCCCCTCATTCTTCTCTTCCGCAGACTAAAGCATAGAGGGATCTAGGGTGGTACGTGGCTCGCTGGTAATATGGCCAGTTGGCTGCCCCCTCTCACTCCCTGTGTGTTGGAGGCTTTGAGCTAGAATCTCCCCTGCGTCTCTGGGTGGCCCCCAGGAGCAGGGGTAGTAGTTACAGCTACCTGCTCACGGCATCGCCTGGGTGTAAGTTAGAGCAGCGAGGGGCTGCCCTACTTACACCACTGGGCAAGGGGCCTTATGGATGCTATTCCAGTGGAGGAGCTGCACGTCCTATGCTGCGGGGTGAGGGTGGTCAGCTCTGCCAGCTTCATACCAGCAGAGAGCAGGCGTGGTGGAAGCTCCCTAAAAGTGTGTGTGGGGGGGTCCACTGGTGCCTGAACTGTGGCCCCGCCCCCTCTTCCCTTGAGGCCCCGCCCCATACCACCTCTTCCCCAAGATCTTGCCCCCTTCTTGCTCCTCTCTGCCTGCTTCCCTCCCCCGCCCCCCCCGGTCACTCGCCCTTATTGGTGGTAAAAAGTGATTAGGCCTTGGCCCCCGGACTCCCCCCCATTCCGATGCCCTTGGCAGAGAGTCTCCCTTTGCCAGGGGAAATCTCTGCTGGCTGTCTGCAGCCACAGCCCAGCTCCCTTGTGGTACCTGCTGGGTACAAAGGGGCTGGATCATAACGGAGAATCTGGCCTTTAGTCTTCTCTAACCTGTCCCTCAGCACTGGAACTTTTATTCCATTTACATGGGTCTGACTTGTGCCAAGAACATTCCATGGTAACTCTTCAAGCCCCCAAGGATTCAGTACTGCTTAGTACTTACGTGGTGCTTTTCCTCTGGAACTCTCAAAGGGCTGTACCAAGGTCAGCACCAAGCAGTATCCGTGTTTCTCAGATGGGGGAAACTGAGGCACAAGCAGGTCAAGGGACTTGCCTAAGGTCACACAGGGATTTTGTGGCAGAGCTCAGAAGGGAACTCAAGTCTCTTAACTCTGTCTTCCCATTGGTCCACCCTGCCCCTCTCTTCCCACTCTCTGTTCGCACCTGGCTCAGTATGCAAATAAGCTTGCAATATTCAAATAGCCGGAGTGGGAGCCAGGTATCAGTTACCTTCACCTGAAAGGAACGTCTCCAAGGTATGTCACCTTCAGCTGACCTGCCCTACGCTCGGTCTACACTAGAAAACTAGGTTGGCATAACTACGCTGCTCAGGGGTGTAAAAATCCACATCCCTGAGTTGTGGCATAGTTAAGTCGACCTAAGTCCCCATGTAGACAGTGCTAGGTCCACAGAAGAATTCATCCATCACCCTAGCTACCATCTTTCGGGGAGGTGGATTAGCTACACTGATGGAAGAACCCCTCCCATAGGCATAGGTAGTGTTTACACTGAAGCACCATAGTTCACACTGGCCTGGTCAGCCACTCACGTGTTCACAGAAACCAAACCAACCGGTGTTGTGCTGGCCATCTTTGAACCCGAAGGACAAACAACATAGCTGTGCCACCGTAGCATTTTAAGTGTAGACAAGCTCTTAACTCCAAGACCTTAAGAACCTATTTTTTCAGTCTAGTTACAGAACTCTTTATATGGTACCCATATGTACATGTCACAATGGTTATGCTGGCCAGTGGGCTACTGGCTCTCAGCAGAGACC